TAGGTATAGAAAAAGAGATCTTGTAAATTGTAACGCATAGGCTGCGGAGACGACCGCGCTGCCGTCGGCGAACGCCTCGCTTCCTTGACTCGCGCCTGGTCGGGACCTCCACGTCATCTCTTATTCTCCTTCTTCTTTTACACACACATACATACTAAATTACTCTTATATCTTGCGCATTGTATGGATGTGTATTATATAGATTTATTGTTTTTCAACAAGTACAGGATATACTTATATCACCATTTTTGATCGATTTATTTTTAAAAGTAGTTTTAGGCTTTTAGCTATGGCCTATGTGCAAATAATCTACCCCAAATTTTTCAGTTGTGAATTTTGGTGCATTGAACTAATTATCGAGAAACAAAATTTTGAAAGATTGGACGCTATGATAAATCAAACTAAAATCAGTAAAAGACTATATGCATGCATACGTTACGGCTATATGAATCTTGGCTAATTTCAAAAAATGTCACTTTTCAAGTGCTACTTTACAAAAATACCATATTTTTGAAATAAATGCCACTTTTTCAAAATTATTTTTTCTTTATATTATTTATATTTGGGTTAATTATGTTCTATTAGGGTTTAGTTATGAAGGTTGAGTGGGGGTTTAGGGGTCAAAACATTTTTTAGTGTTTAGAATTTTAAGATATAGGGTTTAAAAATCTATAATTAGTGACATTTTTGTAAATAAACACCTTTAAGTAACATTTTAGAAATGTGCACATAAATAGTGGTATTTTTGTAATTTTTCCATGAATATTATATATTTGTAGAAGAAATAAACACGTACGTAGTAGTAATTAATGACATTTTGCTGAAATGTCAATTCTTTTTATCTTCTTAAAAAAAGAAAAAAGTTTCTGTTGAATGAAAGTTAACGGTGGATCCAACAAGCAAGAGGTGAATGAGCTAAGAAGCATATTTTCTTAAGTTTGAAGCAACCAATAAATTATTACTAATAACATTCATGGTGTTAAGTGTAGATAAAAAAAAATACTAGTACTACATTACATATCAAAACTCGGGATTCGAACAAGACTTGAAGATCCGACATGGGAGGCATGGAAATTGTTTAAAATCTTACCTCGGTTTCATAGATTTTTAACAAATTTCATTTTAATTTACTGCTCTAATTAATTTGTCTCGATTATTGTTTTTTTCGATTCTACAGACATACGTTAATGTTTGCTTATTTCACTCCCCGATAATAATTAAAAACCCTTTAGTAACAATCAAAACAATTTCCTGCTGTTTTGGTCTGTTTCTAACCAAACAATGATAATCATTTTGTTATGTTACAGCCACCAACAAGTCTAAATATAAATAATTTGGGCCTTACTTACGAGCCCAAGTAGACTTATAAAGCCCAATTAAAACCGTTGGCGCGTCAAAATCACGATGAGGTGCAGTAGGTATGTCCGCACTGGATAATAATCACCACCAATACCATAGAGCTCATTATGAAAATAATTAAAAAAAAAATCCTTTTGATTATTATTACTGAAATAAAAAGCAAAGAGAGAAAAAGAGAAAGGTTTTAAAACCTTTTTCGCTCTTCTCCACAAACATTCCGTTTCAGTGTTTTTGATTTTTGAATATTTGTTTCGCTCTCTCTCTGCTTCGGTTAGATCTGCTCCTGTGAATTGATTCTGCTCGTGTTTGTGTTGTTTCTCCGGTGGAGTTTTTCCAAAATGCCGGCGACTGATACCGAAGTAAGATTACTCTTTCCGATGTGTGTTTCTCTCATCGAAATTCGAAGTTCCATGACTCATTTCTCTGGGTTTTTGATTTCACAGGTTTTATCTCAGACTGCGAACGGGTTAGTTTCCTTCTTCTTCTTCCTCCTCTAGGGTTTAATTTTTTTTTCTCCGATTGATGATGATAGGGTTTCTTAATTTTGGATTTGATTAGGGATTACACTTTCGCTAGTGTGGATAATTTGGAGCATTGTACAAAGTATTTGAATCAGACGATGGTTACATTTGGATTTCCTGCCTCGCTCGATCTCTTTTCGAATGATCCGGTGGGTTTTGTTTATCGACTCGTCTCTTAAATCCTGGAATCTGTGGGGATGTTTTGGGGTTTTTTTTAATTAATTTAGGGTTTTTGTTGATTAGGTTTCAATCTCAAGGACTTGCAATTGTATGTACACGTTGCTGCAGCAGCGACAACGTGATATAGAGTTTAGAGAATCTGCTAACGAGCAGAGACAAAGGTAAAAAATTTCTTCTTTGTTTCAATTTTCTTTGAACATTGCTCTGCGGTTATTGAATCGTTCTTAGAGGAGTGACACTGGTATGGATCTGGGATTGTCATTATCGTGTAGAGCCACTTGATATCATTCATTGTTTACGTATTAAGTGTTTCAGCTATGTTAGTATGTGACTTTTGTTAAAGAAAATTTGGGATCTTATTGAGTGGTTCTGCAGGATTATCGTTTGTTATTCATTGGCTTTATATTCTTGCAGATTTATCGGTTTATGCTGCGTTAATCTAATCTAGTTTGATTTGCATTGCATTGCATTGCGATTAATGGATTGTTCTTAGAGGATTGATAATTAGTATGGAGCTGGGCTGTTATTTTCGTTTAGAGCTACTTGAGATTATTCACTGTTTACTTATTTAGTGTTTCAGCTATGATAGTATGTGACTTCCATCAAAGAAAATTTGGGATCTTCTTTAGTGCTTCTGCGGGATTGTCGTTTGTAATTCATTGGCTATATGTTCTTTGCAGTTTTAATTGTTTATGCTGCTCTATTCTAGTTTGATCTTTGAACATTTCTACTCTGATTCGTGAAAGGGTTGCCTTATGATTTATGTGCATTCTCTTACTTTGTTGTATAGACTACAATCGGATATAGCTAGACTTGAAGCTAAAGTTGAGAGGCTTGAAGCGCAACTCCAACAGAAGGACAGGGAAATTGCAACAATTACCAGAACAGTTGAGTCCTGTCAAGTTTCAGGGTTTCAGCTGAAATGGTTTTTGCTTCGACTCTATATTGATTGGTAAGGTTAAATTATTTTCTCTTTGGACAGGAAGCCAAAAATTCAGCAGCTCTGAAGTCCCAGATTGAAAAGCTACAGCAGGAGAGGGATGAATTTCAAAGGATGGTGATCGGTAACCAGGTCTGGATAGGTTATGCTGCTTCGGTTAACTATACTATCTTGACGCAATTGTACTGATGGATTGTGTACATTTAATCTCTAATCCCTGAATAGCAAGTGAAAGCTCAGCAGATACACGAAATGAAGAAAAAGGAAAAGGATTACATTAAGTTGCAGGTTGGGGATCTTACCTCCTGGAAGTGACTTTTCTGTATCCTCTTTGATTCTACATTATATGAAAGCGAAACTTTTTTTCTTTTTCTCTCTTGCAGGAGAAGCTGAATCAAGTATTAATGGAGAAAAAGAAAGAATCAAGATCAGGAATGGAGATTATGAATTTGCTACAGGTCCTTTTAACAGCATCTGGTTGTCTCAATCCTTAATGATGAATGTTTTGACTTTTCTACCTGACTGATAGTCTGATGAACTTAATAGAAAGAAGGGAGGCAGCGTGGGACTTGGAATGGCAAGAAGACGGATACCGATTTCTACAAAAAGATAGTACGAGTCTAACACTACAAATCACTAACGTTATACAGCACTTCAAAGGAATTCATTTAATAACGTATCCCTGCAGGTGGATGCATATGAAGCGAAGAACCAAGAGTTAATGGCTGAGAACACTAATCTAAGAGCTTTGCTTCGATCCATGCAGGTAACCTCTTTCTTCACATTTTACTTAACTTTGGTAAATTACATTTGTTTATTCACAAGCAAAGATTTTTATATTTTGGTTTTGTTGCAGACAGATATGCGTGATTTCTTAAATGCTCCAAACGGGTCAACTAACCCTTCATTGGCTGGCAGTGAGAGACGTGAGGCTGATCCTTCACAATCACCACTGGGTGGGAAGACGGTATGCATAATCTTGGATAATTGAATGCTTTTTTATTATCTTAGATAATTGATTGACCAGTATCTAACTAGTCATTACACAGGACGTCTTTGATCTACCTTTCCGGATGGCTAGAGGTCAGATAGAAGAAAGTTTGCGCACTAAGATGGCTTCCATAAAGGTTTTTATTACCATCATTTGAATCACACTGTGTATCCATCTTTTATCGTTGGCTAACTTTTAAAGCTGTTTCTTCTTATTTTCTCTGGGACATATATAAAATAAAGGAACGCATGGTCCATTTACAAGATGCACCTAAAGGAGCATCTGTTACATCTGAAGCAACAGAGAGAGAGCTTGAACTTGAAGCTCAGCTCGTCGAAGCAAGAAGCATAATCCAAGAACAGGTCCTCTATTCATTACTGACTACGTAGACTCTATTTTGCTCAGCCATCTACTTCCATGATGGTTTGGGAATTTATTCATTGTATCATTGCAGGAGTCCATAATGTCTAAACATCTCCCAAAATCAAAATCAGAGCAGCGAAGGTATTATATTCTTTGATTTTTTGGGCATATAAACTTATAAGATGATTGTGCGAAACAATTAACAGTTACCAAACTTGTTGCAGGGAATCTGTCGTTCCATTAGTAGCCGAGGTATAATGATCGCTTTTTTTCTTTAACAAAAAAGGAGCTTAATGATGATTGTTGCTTGATCTGTAATTTCCTTAAATCTTCTTTTCTTATGTATTGTCTGCACAGTGAAAATATGGGAGCTCAAAATCCATGGAGCCACCATGTTTAAACTATGTTGAAGATGTTTAATCCATGGAGCCCAAATGTAGTCGTCAATGGCTAATTATTGTATATTCAGCTTTTAGTTGTGTCAAACAAGAGATCCTTCGTTGTGATATCAAATTCTTATTATATATCATTATCAGAGTCTAGTGTTGTGCAACAAATCAATCAAGGCTTATAATGATGGTTGTTTGGTGTCAAAAAATTCAAGTTTCGTAATCTCTGTTATACTATCATATCTACTACTC